AAGGAGTTTGAATTTTATTCTAAACATCTTGAGGAGCTACTGGGACCTTTCAGAATGTCTCCACTGCTTTGTGGACAGCGGGTTGTGAGGGGCTGGAGGAAAAGCAGGGAGACCACAGGGGGCTCTTGTGGTGGACCTAGGTGAGCCATGATGATGGCCTGGATCCCATTGCATGACAGGGAGATGGAGGGGAAGTGGTGACTTGCGGGTGTTTTCTAGTATTGATGGCACAATTATCGAGCACCGTTATAACACAGTTCCTTCTGAGGTCTCAAACAGCTTATTTACCCATTTACTTCTAGAATACGTCCTAATTTTACGGAGTCGATCTGTTGACTATTGACATCTTTTTATGGGTCAAATCTCAAATCAATAGATGGCCAGTAGTTCAAGTAGAGCGATGGGAAGGTGAGAGCTCACCTTCTGTAAACTAGCAAAAAGAAATCGTTTTCTCTCTGTAATTTCTGTTTTCTTTCTGTAATATCTCCGGTGGAGGCTCTTATGATAAGTGGAGGGGGGTGGGGTCGGGTGGCAAGGAAGAAACCAAATCAATCAAAGTAACTTTGAAAAGGGAAGTGTGGTGTTTTGGAAGCCAAGGCCCCACAGACAGCGTCTGGAATCTAGAAACGGGAGCCCTCCGGAGCCGAAGCCGTCTCGCTCCCACTGCCATCTTGCTTCTCTCTCTGGGCCCCTCTCACCGTATCACTTGCCTCTCCTCCTGCCTTCCTGGTGAGAGGTGACCATGCACGGCTCCCAGAGGCTAGAATCTCTTGGTTTCAATGTCAAACTGTTAGGCAGAGGGCCACACCCCAGGTCAGGTTAGGCACGCACTTCTGTGGCCTTTAGCTGTGGCCGAGGCAGTGGGATCACCTTGCACCAACCATCTCCACCCCTGTAGCCACTCGGTGGAGCAGCAAGAGTGCAGTTCCCAGACGAGGGAGAACGGTCTTGAGCTATACACAGACCCCCAAAGATGTCTTCTACACTCTTTGGTAATTCACCCTTAGCAAAGCAAGTCGGATGTCCTGACTCCTCCACGATCTAGTTAGGTAATACTGGTCAAGCCCAGGCCCTAGCTGACCTGGTGGGGACAGTGAGGAGTGGGGTCACTGTGACAGCTCTCACCTTCTTGGATGCAGTCAGCCCTCTGGGTCCCCTCTTCAAGCCAGGGAAGCGCTTCAGCCTTGCTGACTTTCTTCTCCTTCCAGTTCTTGCCCTGCCACCCCTTGGCCACAGCGGCCGCTCCCTTGTTACCTTGTCCTCTCGTTTCTCCCGGGCAAGCTCTGGTATCCCGCCTGGGCTTGCCTTCCTTCTGACCCATTCTTGGCCTTGCCCACAGGAGCCAATGCTTGACAGGGCTTCTTCCCGGACTCCCTCGTTGTCCTGCTCCCTGCATCTTCCATGCCCTCCTCCCTGTTCTCTTCCCTGCCCTCCTCCTCCTCGTCCCAGCCCGCCATGCTCTAACCGCAGTACTTTCCTCTGTACATCCCACTCACCCCGCTCCTTGGCTCAGAGCAGATTGGACCTCCCTAATTCAGAGAATCAGTTCTTCCGTGGTCTTCCGTGTTCCCGGCCCAGCTTACGTGTGCATATGAGACGGTTGACAATACCAGGGTTTGGGCCAGGCGCACTTCAGTCCTCAAAGTGACATTCTTACTCTTGAATACTTTAGCGAGGTAACTATCGTGCGGCAGGTTTTCCGAGCATAATAGGTCATCTGATTTCTTGACTGCTGCCTCCATGAGTGTTGCTTGTGGACCCAAGGAAAATGGAATCCTTGGCAACTTATGTCTCTTCGGTTTATCCTGTGTTGTCTGTTGACCTGCTTGTGAGGGCTTTTGTTCTCTTTACATCGAGTTGCAATTCATACTGCAGGCGGGATCCTGTGATCTTCCTCAGTAAGTGCCCCAGATCCGCCTCGATTTCAGCAAGCAAGGTGGGGTCGTCTGCATAATGCCACGTGATCAATCACTGTCACATCAGGAATCTTCACCCAGTCCCGATGCTGCATTCTCCTTCACAGAGCCCAGCTTCTCAGATGATCTGTTCAGCAAGCAGATGGAATAATCATGATGAAAGATACAACCCGGATGCCTACCGTTCCTGACTTGAAACCGTGCAGAATCCATTCAGGTTAAAGAGAGCCTCCTGGAACAGGAGCATAGTGAGGTGTCAGTCCATCTCCGTGGTGGTCTTCCTCTTGTTTGCTGACGCTCTCCTCTACTAAGCGTGCTGGATGGGCGCAGTGGCTGTGACAGTGGGCTCAGCAGAAGGACTGAGGATGGGGAGGAGTGGGCCGTGGTTTGTTCGGTTGCCATGAGTCGGAACTGACTCGACGGCACCTAACAGCAACATTTATTGAAGAGCGTCTTCTACCCCACTGAATGGACTTAGCACCTTGGTTGGAAATCATTTGGCCATAGCTACGTGGACACCACCTCGTCTGGACGCTTTTCTTCCCTTACTCTTTTCTCTCACTCTACTGTGCCTCCTCCTCTTCCCACCGCAACACCCTCCCCCTACTTCATTCACCGTTTGTCTGACATCCCCACATCCAAATCCATCCATTCTGTTTGGTAAAACCACACTCAAAACCATCTGTGCTACGCCAGGAGCTACCTGTCCTGCAGAGAGGAGACAGAGAACCAACACTTCTCCCATCATGCCCGAAAGTACTAACACAAAATATCAAGATCGGTACACATAACAGTCTTTTGTCAAAGTGTTCAGAATTCATCAGATTTTTAGAAACTAAGTGAACACTCAAGAGGCTTCAGTACATGTGTACACAGGTTGTTATATAATGCCACTGACAGCAGCTTCCTCTAAGGTGCTATCTGCTCCTGAGTGTGGGGCGCTCCATCGTCTCAGGTGCAGCTGCTTCCATTGGGCCTCGGTGTTGACTTGCTTGCCTGAGTGGTGCTTCTAGGACCGCCCGCCACCCCCAGCATCTCTGCCCAGGGAGTTCCTGCTGCCGTGCTGGCTTCGCTCCATGCCAGCCTGTTCTAATTCCTCCCCTCCCCCAAGGCCTTCTCCCACTGTTGGGATGCTCCCACATTTAGGAAGGGAAAGCTGGGGGCTGGAGGGTGGGTGGGAATGATTAGAGAGACTAGGGAGAAAGTCAATAGGTAAACACATTGCTGACCCCTACCTGAAGTAACAGTATATATATATAATAAAAAATCATTTTATTGGGGGGGTTTACAGCTCTTGTAACATTCCATACATCAAGGGTATCAAGCATATTTGTACATATGTGGCCATCATTATATTCTAAACATTTACTTTCTATTGAGCCATTGGTATTAGCTCCTTTTTTTCCCCTCCCAACCCCCCCACCCTTGTGGCCCCTTGATAAATTATACATTTTCATATCTTTCACCGACTGGTTTCTGTTGTTCATCTCCCTGGGGTGTGGGGTGGGGTGGTGGTGATTATGTGTCTATCGGTTCCCCCTTCTTCCCCTCTTCTCCCCATCTTCCCTTACCCTCCTGGTATCGTTACCCCCATTTCTGTTCCTGGATTCTGTGTGTCGTGTGCTCTTACCTCTTATCTGTACCTGTGCACATGCTCCGGTCTAGCCCACAGTGAAAGTCAGGACTGGGGTCATGATAGTGGGGGGTGAGGAAGCCTCAAGGAACCAGAGGAATATTGTGTGTTTCATTGGTGTTATACTGCGCCCTGGTTGACTCACCCCTTCCTTGTGACCTTTCTGTGAGGGGATGTCCCATTGTCTACAGATGGGTTTTGTGTCTCTGCTCCAAATCCCTGCCCTCTGTAAGAGGTATTTTAACAAGCAGATTACCTGCCTTATGGTACACAAAAAATGGCGTGATGTGCTCAAATACTTAAAACTGGTGTCATCCCTGCACAGTGTGATAAATGCTTGCTGATTGAGAGGTGAGGCAGCCATCCATGTGTGAGGAAAACAAGATGGCTGGGGAAGTGGTGGGTTGGGTCCAGAGGAAGAGACTGCGATGGGTGATGTTTGAGAATGAGGAGAAAGCCATGGAGGTGTGGTCATGGGGCACTGGCCAGTATGCTCACCTGGGCCGTGAAGTATAGGTGAACTAGGGAAACAAATCCACAGAAACTCATCTGTATATAAGGGAGAGTTTTAGATAAAGGATAAATGCACATCAAGAAAGCATCTTAGCCCAGTGCTGTCCAAGCCTGTAAGTCCAACATTAGCCCATATGTCCGACACCAATCCACAATCCTTCATCTCACCAAACACACAATGACGCCACCTGCAGGAGGAGAGCCGAATCTAAGCGCGTAAGCATCCCAGCACTCGCAGGGGTCTCCACACGGCTGCTCCAGCACCCAGGGCTGCATCGGGGTAGGTCCATGTGGCTTCTCCTTGGGGATGTCTTGTAGGAAATGAGCCTTGCCAGCTGAAGCAAGGAACTGGCTAAGGCAGCTGCACCCTGGTCTGACCATCACAAAGCAAGAGACCCGAGAACTAGAAAGGCGAGGCTCACTGAGCCAATGATCTCTCTGGCCTTCCATGAACCCCACGTGTTTATCGGCCAGGTTGGCACAATAAACCTGAACTATCGCAATGATAAAGCTTAGTGCCATGAGAACCAAATATTCATGAGTCCTTTTCCTAACGCTTTCGGGTTTGCTGCTGACTGACTGACCCTTGCTCCAGGTGTCTCCTTGATGACCTGTTCCCATCCCACCCCCCAAGAGAGGTCTCTTCCCTCCTAGAGAGCAAGCCCCTCCTCTGCCCTCATGCTGATTTGCATAAGAGATGCTTGAAGTGAAGAGCTGAACTTCCCTGTCCCCTTCCCAGCTCTGGTGCCTGGTGGCTTTCTAGAGCACCACCATCCCCAGCTCCTGCAGGCCTGGGACTTGCAGCCTGGATGTTTGTGCCTGTGCAGTCTCCTTGAGGCGCATACACACACACACACACACACACACACACACACACACACACGCTGGAGGCGTGCTGGCATTCAGCTTGGTTACTCCACTCCTTCTTCTTCCGGCAGCCTGGTGCAAGCAGAGTACTGGCACGACCCCATAAAGGAGGACGAGTACCGCAACCACAGCATCTTCTTGGCGGACATAAATCAGGAGAGGGTGAGCACCGGCCGGAGCAGGCTGCCCGGAGCCAGGCACTCATTCCACTGAGGGCACCGGAAACTTAGCAGCAGTGACTGATGACTGCACACAGCCTGAGCAGAACCTGGGACACACACGTTCTCTTTTTCGGGAGGTAGTGCTTAGGAGATTTAGTTCCTTTTAGGGAAGCTGAAATGGCTGGGCTTTTTCCCTTAAGTCTTTTCTCTTGCCTATTGATTTGCTTGCTGGATTAACTGGAAATTCCCAACTGCTATCTTAATTAGGGAAGTTTTCCTGGCAAGTCCCTTTTGGCAAATTTTCTCAGAAGAGAGATTTACCAAATGCAGAGGAAACCGAGAATGTCGCCGACTGGGTTTGGGAGGTTCTAGTAAACTAGATGGCTGGAGGTTCTATTAGGCTTTTTGACAACAGAACATGTTAAGAACACTAAAAAGAGGGAAAAGAGTATTACAGACTGGTATCGTACAACTGCCTAGAATTTGCAGTGCCTTACTGTGCTCTGGAACCCTGGTGGCTGTCACTGTAAGGTCAACAATTCGTAACCACCAGCCACTCCTAGGGAGGAAGACGGAGCTACCCTGTGCTATTGGGTCCCTTAGGAGTTGGCATCGACTCAGTGGCAGTGAGTTGAGTTCTGAGTTTCTCTGGCCAGCCATTTTCCTGTGCATGACAGTGCCTCTGGAGGCTACTGCAGCAATTCTTGGTTGCCCTGGAAACCGGGCTGGTAGAGGAGTACCCTTCAGCTGGGATGGGCGGAAGAGGATGTGAAATACCTACTCTGAGCAGGGACAGCAAAGGCAGCATATGCACGGGGGTGGGGTGGGGGGGGTGGGGGGGTGGAGAAACATGGCGGCCTCAAATCAGACTAGCGCACAGAGGCATAAGCCCCTCCCCTTAGAATGGGCAACAGTGTCATAGAGGTGTGGTGCTCTTTCTTCCAGGGCGTCAATGAGGCCTACAAGAAAAACCTGATGGCCTTGAAGAAGTTTGTGATGGTGAAATTCCTCAATGATTCCGTTGTGGACCCTGTGGATTCGGAGGTAAGACCAGCACACAGGACACAACTTGCCCGGAGACCACGGGAGCAAATGGCATTCAGAGACAGCTGCTGGTGGGAACAGGCCTCCAGTTCAGGCCCTGCCACCCACCTTTGTGGGGCAGTTTTTCACTCAAGGGCCTTGAATGGGTTTCTGAGGGTTGTGAAACGATGCATTTGTATTCGCTCGGGAAGGGTCCGTACTTTTCATCAGGCTCTCAAATGGACCTATGGCCTAAACAGGATCCGAACCATTCGCCCTCAGTGTTTCTAAGATTGGCATGCACGATCTGCCTTGACTGAGCTACTTCATACACCTGATCAAGTTGTGTCCTACTACCTGAACTGTCCAAACTCGGCTTGTGCCTTGACACCTGCATGCTTTTGTCCATTTGCTGCCAGCTCTAGAACACTCTCCCCTGGCTTCTCCGTCTGACAAACTGCTTACTCATCCGCTCAGGCTAAACTCAAATGCCACGCCCCTAGGAGAGGGTGCCACCCCATTCCCAAGCAGAACTGCTCCCTCTTTGGTTGGAATCACCAGCCAGTTAGAGCACCTTCCTGTTATGCCATCCTAGGGGCTAGGGCCCAATCCATAGCCCAGGGACCACATTCAGCCTACCACTTTCACATGGCTGGAAAAAATCAAAAGACTATTTTACGATACCTGAAAATGGTGAAATTCAAATGTGAGTGCCTGTAAAGTGTCATTAGAACACAGTCATGCCCATTCCCTATGGACTGTCTTATCACTGCTTTTGCCTGACAAGGGCAGCACTGAGTTGTTGGGAACAAGTAGCCCTTAAAGCCTTAACATGTTTTGTGTCCGGCTTCCGCTGACTCCTGTGCTGAACACTGTGTTTTTGTGTCTCATTAGACTGAGCTTCTTGAAAACAGATTCGCCTTTGGGTGTCTAGTTGGTTACATAGGGCAAGTGCTCGGAACATGTAGGAAGTAGAAAGTTCTTGGGAAAAATGAACTTATCCCTCAGGACCCACCCTGAGTGTCAATGCAACACATATCCAGTCTGTCCTTCGTGCTAGATAGAGCTTTATGTTCAGTTTGTGGGTGGCTTTAGCTGTGACCCCCATACTACCATTGAGCCCAACTCATCAGCAACCCCGTAGGATGGAGTAGAAATGTTTCTTAGGTTTCTGAGACTAACTCCTTATGGGACCAGACACCATATTTCTCTTGAGCGTGGCTGATGGGTTTGTCGCTTACTGTCCGCAGCTCAATGCTTAACCATGGTGCCACTAGAGCTCTTTTTTAGCACCTTGTGGCTAGGTGCTATCGAGTCGATTCTGATTCATAGCCACCCTACGTGCAATAGAACAAACACTGCCCAGACCTGTGCCGTCCTCACAATTGTTCTTTTGTCTGAGCCCATCGTTGCAGCCCCTGTGTCAGGCCATCCTGCCGAGGGTCTTCCTCTCTGTCACTGCCCTCCTTCTCCACCAAGCATGATATTCTTCTCCAGGGACGGTTTCTCCTGACAACCAACACGTCCGAAAGTACGTGAGACAAAGTCTCACCATCCTTGCCTCTAAGGAGCACTGGGCATCTTCCAAAACAGACTTCTTTTTCAGTGACTAGCCAGCCTCAGATGAGTTTGGTAATGTGTGGTACGTGTTTGAGCTGACCTTGTTTCTGCCTTCCCTCCTGCAGTGGTTTGGATTTTACAGAAGTGGCCAAGCCAAGGAAAGCATCCCCCTGCAGAAGACCACTTTGTACACAGAGGTAACTGGGAACACAGATTGGTTTTAGTGGCCAGCAGTGCTTTGTCAGCTCCTGCTGCCTGAAGCTCTAGGTAGTACTGGGTGCTCCTGAGGCATCACTCAGGTCTCACGTGGGGGTGGGGTGGGGGGGTTACTAAGCTCTATACCAGCGGTTCTCAACCTTCCTCATGCCGCGACCCTTTAATACGTTCCTCATGTTGTGTGACCCCCAACCACAAAATTATTTTCATTGCTACTTCATCACTGTCATTTTGCTACTGTTATGAATCATAATATAAATATCTGATAATGCAGGATGTATTTTCATTGTTACAAATGGAACATAAACATAAAGCATAGTGATTAATCACAAAACAATACATAATTACATATTGTGAAATAGTTGTGTTTTCTGATGGTCTTAGGCGACCCCTGTGAAAGGGTCGTCCGACCCCCAAAGGGGTCGGGACACGCAGTTGAGAACCGCTGCTGTAGATGGTTGCGCTGGCCTCTCAGGCACGGTTCACAGAAACCTACATCCTGGGGGTGAAAGGGGCTGGGACGCTGGTTTTAGTCTTCAGGCCTACATGTCGGCTACACCATCTCAGACGCCTTCCTTTTGTTATCAAGCTTGAGAAAGGGCTTCCTTTGCTGAGTTGCACTCTGCTACAAATCCCAGAAGCCCCCACGTACAGTGAAGGCATGGAAGAGAGGGTGACTTTTAACCAAAGACGTGGAAGGGATGACGACACAGCAGCACTTAGCCTATCAGTCGGGGTATCAACCTGGTTCCTTGGTACAAATCTCACCTTCCAGACATGAGCCTGGGGCCGGTTCCTGGCCAGTGGCCCTCATGTGCAGCTGCCGCCCCTCTGTCGCTGCCGGCTTATGGGTGATGCTGAACAGGTTCCAGTGGCGTGTCCCTCCCAAGACAGCCTGGGGAAAGGCCTAGTAACTGCTCCCGAAAACCGGCCAGTGCAAACACTATGGATCACAACGGTCTTATCCCATTGTGCATGGGTTCCATCAATCGGGGGCTGGCTTACTTGGTAGCAGCCAACAGTAGATGTGGACGTCAGTGTTAAGTCTCCCATCTACATAGGAGTAGATAGGCAAAGTTCATCCTCCAGGACGTTGAGTGGAAACAGCACTGAATTTTGTGGAACTGCAGATTTAGACAACACTTTCCAGGAGTTTTCATATTCTTGAGATGAGAATTGCCTCAAATACACAAATGCTACATCCGTACCAATCACCATCTCACTAGTCAGTCCTCTCCTGTTGGCTTTTCTCTTTCATTTGGGCCCCATTCGCTATTGGTGCTATCAGCTTGGTTCTGACACCTAAGGGCTCGTGTAGTAGAGTGAAACACTGCCCCAGCCTGTGTGATCCTCACAGTGATTGCTGTTCACTGTTCAAGCCCATTGATGCAGCCATTTTCAGTCCATCTCATTGAGGATCTTAATCTTTTTTGTTCACTGACCCTCTGCTTTTATCAAGCCTGATAGCCTCCTGCAGGGACTGATCTCTCCTGATAACGTGTCCCAAGTACGAGACAAAGATCTGCCACCCTTGCGTCTTTGCACACCATTTAATTCAAAAGCATCCGTTCTCAGTCTGCCTTAGTCATTGTCCAGCTTTCATAGGTATGAAGGTACTGAAAATACCCTGGGTTGGGTCAGGTGCACGATGGTTTCAAAGTACCATCTTGGCTTTTGCACTGTCTCGAGGTAGATCGTTTATAGATTTGCACAATGCATTGCTCGGCTTCCTTACTGCTGCTCCCAACGGGTGTTGATTGTGGATTCCATAAAATGAAGTTCTTGACAACTTCAGTATTTTCCTAGTTTATCATGATACAGGGAGAAAGGGAAGTTCAGGTTTGGGCAAAGAGCTTTAGAAATGGCAGCTGTAAACTTCCTTATTGTGAAACCCAAACTGCTGGTATCTGTGGCAGAAGTACCCATCCGGGCATTGTCTGAGCTGCTCGTTTCCCAGACAACAGCATACAAGCAGGTATCAAGAATTTTGTGGGGAAATCCACCATATCTTTTTATTTCCCCACAGAATGTTTGAAGCCCCCCCTCTTCCCCACCCAAGTTGTGACTGACATGTTCAACTGTGGCTTCAGGAAGGGTCCCAGGTTTGATAAGGGATGGATGTTTCAGTCACCTATTGTTCTTTTTTTGGCTCATCCCACTGAACGCTGACATTTCTGAGGCAGTTTTATCTGCTACTTGCCCACGCTTGGCCTGTTTTCTAGCTTTTTAAACTATGAACAGAATAATCTCAACTGCATATATATTTCTGATGCTCAGAAAAGAGAAATATCCCTGTGGGATTTTCTACAAATACTGTTTTAATAATCAGAGAAAAAATATCATTTGGGAATTGTTTCTAAAGGTAACATTTTGTTTCTTGGCTGTTTTGATCGAACACTTTTCATTGACTTGATTAACTGTGGACTCTCTCTACAGGACCGCCTGGGGCTACAGGAAATGGACAAAGCAGGGAAGCTAATCTTCCTGGCTACAAAAGGGGACCATCTACAACTCTCTGAAGAATGGTTTGATGCCCACATCATCCCCTTCCTTAAATGATCCTCATGCACTTCGCACTGGTGCTTTACAGGAGCCCTCTCTATTTCCCAACAGGGAGGGAGAGTTTCCTTCATGCCCAAGCCTGGCATTAGATCACGCCTGCAACTAATCCTTTTCTCCTGTCATCATGTAACATGCCCTCCTTGGAAAGATCCAAGATCCCAATCTTATCCTTTGCCTCATCCTATCACCAGATGGTGTTGAATGCAAGTTTAATTAGCTAACAGCCAGAGATTGTCTTACAGCCCTTTGATGTGGTCAAGCTCAGGAAAGGGAGTCTGCTGCAGCCAGTGCCAGAGGTGCGCCCAGGCTCAGAGGAGAGTGAACCACAGCAGGGAGATGGCTCCTAAACAGATACCTTTTCTAGGGCCGTTAGAAAGTCTGTTCACATTTCAAACCAGGGGGGCGATGCACTGCCCAGGCCCCAGTCATATAAATGCCGTTTTGTTGTTTGAGATGTCACCCATGCTTGGAAATGTCTTATGTGAATAATACAACACTCAGGCGGCTTGCTTAAGGGAAGAAACATGTTTCTTGCTGCTAAGGGGGAAGGGGAAAAGTGAAGAACGAGGAAGTGGAGGCCCTCTCCCTTCCATCCTAGACCAGGCCTGTCCTCGGCTTCTTTGTGACGAGTGGTCTGGATTCCATTGTCTGGCTGGTTTGGGCAGAGGATGGGAGGGGAGACGCAGAGCTCGGGCTTTCTAACTTCATCCCCCAAATCAGTTAGCAGCGCGCTAAACTGCTTCCCTGTCTGCTGTGGGAAGAGATGGTCGGTTCAAAACAAGCCGGGGAAATGCTGCAGTACCCTTCTCGAGACCAACCCTCGCTAGAACATTAAGGACTCCAAGAACTCCTGCTCATTAATGAAAGTGAGCCTCGGTCTATCGTTCCCTCATTCAAAACAACTTAGTACCCCTCTCCCCCTTACCACCCTTATCCGCACACTCTGGCGACTGTTCTTCAGGATGTCAGTGTGGGAAGAATGACTTGCTCTGCATTGATGGATGCCTCTTGTTAATGCTGGGAAGTTTACCCCTTTCAAGCTTTATTCTTCAGCTCTCCTGCAGCCCCCGCCTTCCCCCCCCCCCAAGAAAAATGCTATGAAGGGCAAGAGGTAGAGGAACCAGGTGAAGCCATTCGTCTTATGAGGTTGTCTGTGATAAAGAGTAGTTTCTTAACCGTGGTGTCACTTTCCTCCTCGCTACTTTATGTCTGTATCCAACTAGTATCATAGGTAAACAATAAAGCAAGTTTGGTATTAACTTTATTCTGTTTTCTGTATAACTTTAAGTACATAAAGGTTTATTTCCACAGGCCTCAGGAAATGGGTAGAAGTCACAGGACAATTTCTCTTCCACCAAAAAGTTGCATATTTTGGTGTTTATCCTCGAGGGGAAAACTGAAATTTACACTAGCAATGCTGTGCAAGATTGCTGCCGAAACCCAGCCTGCAGTGCAAGTTTCAGTCTGCTGTTCAGGGGCCCGGGCAGAAGCCATAAGCGGTTGAGCATGACAGGCAAAAGGAGGCAGTGAAGGGAGGGCAGGCTCCCTGCATGGGAGGAGGAAGGAATGCCAGGTTCCTTGGAATGGTGTGTTCTTGTTTTCCCTTTTTGTAGAAGTCATCTCTGGAGGAAGGTGCAAGGCAGGGTCTCAGATCACCTGCCTGGGGCGCAGGCACTGCTACAGCAGCTGGGGCAGGAGAGCCCACTCCTTCATGGTCTGGCCAGACCCAAGGTGGAATGCGAAATAAAAGGAACGCTTATGGGAAACCATTTTGCTCGGAATGCTAGATGGCCAAGCCTCAGCCTTTGGTCCAGTGCAACCCTTGCCTGCCTTATCAACAATGAAAAATTAGTTTGGTTAGAAGAACCAGCTGGGATCGCACCAGCTTCTACTACCCTTCTGCATATTGTTAGAAAAAGGATTAGCTTGTGTGAACATTCTGATCAGTTAATTCCTAGGGACTGTTTTTCTTCTTCCCCAAAAGAATCATTCCCCAAAGCTGAAACCTAAAACCTACCAATCCCGGTCTGCAGTTCCTGAAGAATGAACTGGCGGCATGGGTGAGCTGATCTGGAAAAGCGGCACCTTCCTGCAGAGGATCAACTGACCTGCTGTCCCACCCCAAATCTCAGCCTGAGGTATATTTCAGTGAAGGCAGGTAGCTGTGCTTCTCAGGGCTGAGAAGCCGTTTAAGAGCAGAAAGGTAGAGGAAATCTAGAAAAGAACCGTCTTGATACACATTTATCCCGTGGTGTGAAGGGAGAGGGCAAAGAACCCAGTGGCACTTCGCTTATCCGGCAATTTCTGTCACTGTGGTGACTAACTTCTGCCCATTCCATAGGGTCTTGAACTGCTCCGGGACTGGGAACTCATTCTGCAAAGGAAAGGAAAGGGAAGGAGACCAGATGTAAACGCATGAGCTAAATGATGAGCTGGAGGTCCCATCTCACACACTTCTCCCAGAACTTGCATCCCCTCTGAGAGCAGAGTAGTGTGCCGTGAGATGCACACTGGAGAAAGCCTGGCTAGGAAAGAGCAAGGCCACGCTTTGTGCTACCACTTTCCCTACCGCTCACAGGGCAGGGCCCCTGGGAGCTAGACACGTGGGTTTGACTAACCTCACACAGCTGGTTAAAAAAATCTATGAGGCGTACAGGAAACAGCTTGTGTGGGCTGCTACCAGTCCAACAGGGTGCTGTGATGCCCTCCTTGACTATCTCCTCAAAAGTAAGCGTCGAGCCCCTTTAGAGCTGTCCTCCCAGACCACCCTAGCTGCCGCTGTGTACATCACTGGGTCTTCCCTACTCTGCACGCTGCCCCTCCAACACCCGTCCCTTTCTCTGACTGTATGGCTTAGGAGGTCAAGACACTTACAAAGTCGCCGCCTTCGGTAGGGATGAGGACGTTCATCTCGGAAGACTTGGCACTGACTATCTCACAGTCCAGGGAATTCCTGCTCAGGTAGGCATGGCAGCCATCTGTTTTGTTGATGGAAATAGTTGGCACTTTACCCATTACCTGCAGAGAAACAAAGCCCATCCAAGTGAGAGTGGTTCTAGCAAAAGGCAAGGACTTAGCACAGGCACAGGTGCACTACAGACAGTGGATGCTAGGGGCAGGCTAGAGGAGAGCTGGGCAGAGCCAACAACTCCGAACACACCCAGAGCAGCTCGGCTTACAGACTTCGTGGAATCAGATTCCCACCAAAGCAACATCTGTGGGTCTGCTTTCTCTCGCTCTCTAAATGAATTCCTCAGGGACCACAAGGAGGAGCCAAGCTATCAAGTTACCTGAACTTTGACATCTCTACTATTGATTATCTCCACAATGCCCACCACGTCATCGAACACCAGCCCGAGTTTCTTACAATTATCTAGAAGACAAGAGGGAGCCACCAGTCAACAGTGTAACGTTGAGAGAAAAGGAATACATTTGCGCGAATCTTTTGGAAGGTAGTAGGTGAGATGGTGGGCTCCTACCCGCCTCTAGGACCACTACCAGCTGGGGCAACGGGGAGGACTTACTCACCTACTGTGATGGAGTTAATTTTGCCCTTGATATGCAATGTTGTGTTGACACACTTGTATATGTAGGCCACCTGTTTCAGCTCGGTGTCCTCAATCACCAAGTTGGAAACGTTCTCTTGATTTTCCTGTTAGAGAGAATTCTGTTCAGGAATCTCATCCCAAAAGACAAACCAGCACCACAAACAACTGAGGCTGTCCCAGACTTGTCCCAAACTAATCCCGAATCCTGCCCTCATCTGCGCTCCCTGTTTAAATCGTGAGCCTACCCCTGGTTCCCGACCGGTCTTAACTCACCACTCTCCACTTCTTGCCCTCCAGCTCCAGCAGAGCTGGCTCCTTCTTGGCAGCTGGTTTGGGGGAGGGGCTGGGTCCTGATTTAGGTGCAGAGAAGGGCTTGGGACCACTGCGGACAGGGCCAGTCTGAGCCTTCAGGGCAGGGTTTTTGTGGGTCTTCATGTCATCAGACACGTGTTTCAGGGCTATAAAAGAAGAGCAGCTATACTTTGTTCTTCATACCAGGGTTCCGCTGAGGCAATAACCAACTACTGCTACCGGAAATTAGAGCCAATCCTCAACAGAAAACGTAAAGCCACACCCAAGAGCCTGAAAGGTTTTCATGTAAGCAGATTTTTTTTTAATTTTTTAAAATTTTTTAACATTTTATTAGGGGCTCATACAACTGTTATCCCAATCCATACACACATAAATTGTGTAAAGCGCATTTGTACATCGTTTCTCAAAACATTTTCTCTCCATTTAAACCCCCGACATTAGGTCCTCATTTTTCCCCTCCCTCCCCATGTAAACAGATTTGTAGAAGTATTGTGATCATTTCTTTTCTTCCTTGAGGATAAAATTATAGGCTCCCATTCCCACCTCCCCCCGCCCAATCTTGAAAAACATGGGTGTAGCTGGGACTCAAGTGAAATTAGATAAGAATATGAGTAACACTGGCTCAAAAGCAGGAACTCAAGAAATCCGCTCATTTATGTACTCATGTTTTGAGAGAAAAAAGTTTGATCTCTTTAAATAACCAGTTCCCTAACAATACATACATACATATATAAGCACACACAACTATTCAGTGATGATACAGTGAACTCCAGGCTCATAAACTCTCAAGGGACTTAACCTCATTCAAAATCAACTCCCGTCTTAGGAGGAAGCAAAAAATATGGTGTGTATACTAGGGGCGGGGAATAGATTTAGACAAATAATCAAGCAAATCATAAATATACAAATTTTATGTGTAGTTTTTAAAGCAATGTAAGAGGAAAAAGTAAATATGGTACAGAGCCCTTGCCCACAAATAACCCTAATGCCCACCTGCGCGGCCCCATCTATGGTGTTGGCATTTAAAACCATAAGGTTTCTTTCTATTTGTAGTAGGTTTTCATTTGGCTGTTAGCATCTACAGCGAATTTAGTTTAATAATAATAAATTTCTCATAGTAGTTTCCAAAATTAAAGGTTTCTAAGATGTTACAGTCGCCCTCACGAGGCTGACATACACCTTGAGCTTGAACATGGCCCAATCCGTTGACTAAACAATACTGAAAGACTGCTATTCCTGGTGGTTGTAGCTTCAATACTAGATTTTTTCCCTGTTAAACACAAGGTTCACTGTAGAAAAAAATGAACGGCTACATAATACTCCATGAAGAGGTCAATAATTTAGTTAACAATTCCCTTACTATTAGAAGACTTTCATGCTATACTAACTTTAGCATAAGAGTTGACAGTGCACAAAATTTGGTCTATATTTCAGCTGTTTTATGGTCGTATTCATAGGTAAGATTACTTGTACCCTCTTCTTGACCCAGAATTCTAAGAGGGCTGTACAATTTAGACTTCCACTAGCCCTGTATATGGTATCTAGTTTCTTTAAACCCACATTAGGTGATTTGCATGCAAATTTTCATGTGATTAGTATACATCCTTTGAGGAAGTTAAATCCCTTCTCTAGCCCCACTCCCCAGGGTCCCAAGCATAGGACTTCCCAAAGAGAAACCAGCAGCACCATGCACCAGCCTCCGCACAGTACCCCTAGTCCAAATCCACAGCCATCAGTTCAATTCTGAGTCACAGCAATCTATAAGGAGTATCTGAAGCTTTGTAAATCTTCACAAGAGTAGATAGGTTCAAACCTCCGGCCTTGTAGTTAGCAGTTCAATGCTTTCCTGACAGCATGACCAGGGCTCCCTCCAAGCACAGTGGCGAACTCAATATAAGTCAATTTATGTTCTATCACTCTCCCACGGGGCAGACTTCCTCAGCCACAGTCACCCATTTTCAATTTCTATTTGGGCCAGCTCTGCTGTCCCTTTGGGTAGCTTGAAAGAACATGACACTTCAAATTAACATGACCTCCCACACATAACCCAGGATTTACAGGTTGGTAAAGGCTGCCCCAAGCAACTTGGCATACCAACCCTTCTGGTCAAAGAATTCACTTACCATGTGTGATGGTCTCCCCCTGATTAATCTGAGCAAACAGTGCTGAGCGTGACGCAGAGTCATCTGAGCTTGAACTGGTGGGGATTGGGGGGGGAGGCGGGCCTGGTGGTGGGGGAGGAGGTCCTGATCCGGCAGAAGGTCCAGATGGCAAACCACTCAATTCTGTAGCTACAGGCCCCTGGAACGATAAACACAGGTAACATGGTCATCCTCTCCTCCTCTGGACCACTCCCCATGGAGCCCTATCATGGGCTCAAGGCACGCAGAGGATTTACTGTAAC